AGAACTCAGAGCAGGGGCTCGAAGGAAAAAGGCAGGATGCTTCCAGGGAGCTGGACTCAGGAGTCTGGATAATCCAGGCCCGGAGAACAGCCTGGGAGAGGGCCTCGCCTGGAGGGCCCGACGCAGCTGTGTCACCCAGGCCTCAGAACCCAGCGAACCTGCCGGGTCACGGAAGCACCGGTCAGGGGTGTCCTGCGTGGCGCCCAGGTTCACGCGCCAGTGTGTTTTCAGAGAAGCATTGGTGGTGAACAGGAATCTCAGCCCCATCTGAGTTAGAAAAACAAAAGACTGTAGTGACTCATGTTTTGTGTCGTGTGAAGAGGTGGAAGCAGGAACCAGGTGGAAAAACAGGTCTTGAATTATAAATACAAGAGTTCAAGGACCAGTCATTCAGGATGAGGTCAATATTATCGGATTTAAAACCAGAAATTTCCATTCTAATGGTGGCTTCCACTGCTGTTTATATCTGAAGGAAAATTACCCTTAAAATGGGTGTTTTCTGAGCAGCGTTCAGTACTGTCAGTTGGTTTCTCGAGAGGGATCCTGTGATGACACTGCTTCCGTGATCCCATTTCCCATCTGGGGCTTGGGGCACCACGAGGAAAAGTCCCTTTGTCCCTGGCCCCCTTGCTAGGGTCTTCCCACGCCCACCTACTGTACTCTGTCTCGAGGAAGGTGGGCATATGTGGTGGTGATATGGAAAACTTGGAATTTGAAACCTCACAAGACATTATATTTAAGTGAGCCTGAATAGTATGCTCATTTAGACACGATTTTAGAAGGTTGGAATTAATAAAATATTTAACGTGCTACGTTAAGTGTTTGTTTCTGAAAGGAAGAGTTGCCATAATTTAAAAAAGTTCACAGAAATTTTTTGGAAGTGACTATCTCCCGTAGATTTTAAAAGATGCCTTTTTATACACTCCATTGTGATTATAAAATACTGGTTTGCATGTTTCATAAGCCTGTTACTATAAAGTTTTCACACTGACCTAAAACGTTTAGTATTGCTCAGTGAATGAGAGTAAGAAGGCTAACAGGCTGCAAGGTCTGTGGTGCTGCCGCCCTTCCTCGGATAAGAAGGCGATGTCCACGAGGTCCTGTGGCTCGTGCCGCGTCCGGTGCTGCCGTGGGCTGCAGCGTGTTGGGGCACGTGTGGTCCACGGCATGCCCTGGGTCACATCATGCAGCAGAAACCACAGTGTTTAAAACCCTTCCATCTATTCTGTTTCTTTGTGTATTATTTTCAGAGATAAAGTACTATGCTTTATGTCAAATTAAACTCACCGTCAGGGTTACTTATCTGTTCCTTTGTTAGGGGCAGTGAGGGGTGCCCTGCCTGACCGAGGCTCCCTGGGCCGGTCCCACTCCGCTCGACGCAGGCTGCCATCTAGTGGCATCCGGTGGGGCTGCAATGGCTCCATGCTGCTGCACGGCTTTTCTCCCTCCCTCCCTCCCTCCCTTCCTCTTGCCTTGCCTGCCTTCTTTCCTTTCCTTCCTTCCTTCTGTTTTATTGGAATATAGTTGATTTACAATGTTGTGTTAACTTCTGCTGTACAGAAAAGTGATTGTTATATATATTCTTTTTCATGTTCTTTTCCATTATGGCTTATCACAGGATATTAAATATTGTTCAGTTCCCTGTGCTATACAGTAGGACCTTGTTGTTTATCCATTCGATATATAATAGTTTGCATCTGCTAATCCCAAACTCCCAACCCATCCCACCCCCAACCAGAACTGCACCCCTTTCCCTGGGGCTCCGCATACTTCTTAGGTTGCAGGAAGGCTGGCAAATGCACGTGTCCCTTGTCATTCAGAAAACAGACAAACGTCCGTCACCCTGATACTGAAATACACATTGGAAACAATAGTCCAGCATAGATTGGCTATAACTCTCATTGAGAGCTTAATTTTTCCCTCCGTGGTCTCTACTTAAAAACATGTCCTGAGTTTTCACATTCTGAGTTCGTTATCTATTTCAGAACAAAGGCTTTTTTCAAACTACTTTTAAACTAAAGAGAAGGCTATGGTTTTAGGGTTTTTTTCTCCCTTACTTGGTGTTTTGCAAATTACAAAAGCAGTGTGTGTGTTTATGGTGAAACAATGCAGAACAAAGCTATGCTAAAGGCCCCCAGGAAACCAGTGCTTTGGGGTCTGGTGTATAGTTGTTCTCGTCTTTCTCACAAGAAACACTACAAAAAAGAAAGTGGGGTCCTTATTTTATGGGCACGGATATCTTTGTAGGTGAACATAGGGTTTCTGGAGCTTCATTTCTCTAGGCAATATTTACCTATTGCTGATGAACAGTCAGGAAAGACACTATTTAAACTGCAGAGCAAAACAGCAACAGGCTTCTCACGGTAGCTTGATAGTCTGTTCAACTGAATCTTCCCTTTCCACCAACCGTTAAAATACCCTCTTTATTTTCATCTCATTAATATTTGTTCTGCAAACTAACTTATGCTAGGGAATAAAGGCCTTGTGTCCAGGAGATCTAATGAATGGATTCTGCAGCAGAGCCAGTGCTGGACAGTTAGCTTTTCCGTCGTTATTTGAAATTTTCAGGAATATTTGTATTCCCAAGTGGAGAGGAGACCCACACTTGAAATGCTAAAATCGTCCTCATGACTCAGAACATCTGTCGGGGGCTCCCTGGGGCTCTGCCAGGGAGGGTGAGATAGAACCATCTCAATTGTAGGCCATCTACAGATGTTCCAGAATATCTAGTTAGGCTGGTGTGACATGCACATCTGAAAAATATATAAGTTTACACACACTAAACGCACGTGCCAACAAATGGCAGGCGGTGTGCGACATGGTAGTGAGTGGGCTGTCTTTATCTAACAGGCTGTGACTGCCACATCGAGAGTGAAAAAGGATGCACGTGGCCAAGAGTGTCTGGAGATCTGTCCTCGGAGGCCAGCGGGCTGTGGCCCAGTGCAGAGGACAGTCCTCTGGGCGGAGGCAATGCCAGAATCCAAAGCCCACCCGCCCAGGGGCTGGCCTGGGGGCTGCAGCTCCGCCACGCCCTCTCCTCAGGACGAGAAGGAGACTGGTTAGCTGAGAGTAGAAAGTTCTTGCTGAAGACCCCGGTGTGAGCTGGGTGCGTGAGAACAGATGCAGTGGATTTGGGAGCCAGACCCGGGGGCAATATTGGATCTGTCAAAAAGCAGAAGACCCTTGAGCTTGACTCTCCTGAGCTCAGAGCTGGTTTCAGAAGTTGCCTTCTTTTGAGTTAATCAAGTATTTTGTACGATTCCATCTGATGCCCTTGGTCACCTGATGAGCTCGCACGCTTTGCTGTGTTTTTCTAGCGGTTGCTTCAGGCATCCTGCCCTTGGAAAGCAGGTTTGAGGAGCGTGAAGGAGAGAAGGTGGCAGTCAGTGAGCCTTCTTGGAGGGGGACAGGATGGTGAGGATGTGGGCATCCAGCCCAGCACGGGCCCAGAGGACAGGAAGTGGGCAGAGGACAGGAAGTGCCCGTCTTTACAGGAAATCACCGCCATCACGGCATCCTGACCTGTGCTTAGCGCCTGCACCCACATGCCCCGTGCATGACGGCGTTGTGGGCAGTTGACCTGTTCATCAGCCGCTCTGCGGTGGCCTTGGACCCAGACCCGTTAGGATTTGTCCACCTGCAGTCTGGATGGTCTGTGGCGTAAGCAGTCAAGGGTGACTGCAGGGTCCCAGCTCACTCGTGAGGTCTCCTGAATCAAAGGTGTGATCCCACCTGTCACGGGCGTCTTCAGTTGACTCCCTGGCCATCAAATTTAAGAACCTCTGAGCTACAGGAGGTGGGATTGGAGGCATGATGGGAAAATCCAGAGAGTCTGGAGACAACTTGGTGCAGGGTTCTCTCGCCCTCTGGGACCTTGCCCATGGGCTTTCGGAAAGGAGCCCTCAATGTGCCAAAAAGAAAAAAGAAGGAAAAAAGAAAAAAGAAGAGAAAGTTGGCCTTTCGTTGGATGCTCAGCAAAGAAAGAAATAGCACCAGTGCAGCCTCAGACTGTTGACCCCAACAGACCCCCACAGGGCAGGGGTCTCCCATAGGGTTGAAGCAGATGTGCTGCCTTGGGGCTCCACAGGCTGCTGGGGGTCCGCAGAGACCCCTGCTTGCAGGTGGGAAAAGAGAGGATTCAGAGTCCAAACAGGAAAGATTTTGAAAAGCCAAATTCTTGGGTCCCCCTTTTCACCCAGCAAATTCTCCTGTACCGTCACCCACCCCCAGCCAGCTCCCCACATCTGGGTGTCCGTCTCAAAATGTTTAAACTAGAATTTCCACATTGACTCAGTTACTCAGAAGCAGTGGAAAAGCTGCAGTTGTGGCTCCACTGCTTTCTCTTGCTTTGGAGACCAAGTTTAGTGATAGTCAAAATTAAAACTGTGTGGTTGCATCTTCCAGCCCCCAGAACCCTGGTCATATTCTCACATTCCGATCATAGTAATTGTGGTGGGTGAACGAGGCTGGTGCTTGTCCTGTCCCACACTGTGTCCTGCACACATGTAGAAACTGGTAAAGTCATCCTGTTCAGATTCAGTTCATTCACAAATCATCTTCCTGTGAAAATTGTGAAAGTTGAAAAACCACACGGTGTAATTCAACCAGGCTCACTGAGCTGCCCATGGGCCACCGCTGTGACACCAGCGTATCCGAGAGTCTCATGGCAAAGGAGTGTTTAAAATCACAAAGGGGGCTTCCCTGGTGGCACAGTGGTTGAGAGTCCGCCTGCCGATGCAGGGGACACGGGTTCGTGCCCTGGTCCGGGAATATCCCACATGCCGCGGAGCGGCTGGGCCCGTGAGCCATGGCCGCTGAGCCTGCGCGTCCAGAGCCTGTGCTCCACAACAGTGAGAGGCCCGCATAATGCAAAAAATAAAAAAATAAAATAAAATCACAAAGGAAGCTGATGCTTTATTTTATTATTATCTTACCCCCTAAATCCAGATTGTCTGTTTAATGCTTTTAAGTATTTAATATTTATCCTCTTTCCTCTCCAGGTTGAAGAGAGACCAGAAAAAGACTTCACGGAGAAGGTAAGGAATTCCTGGAGAGCTTTATATTGTGTCATCTATAAACCACGAGGGTCCCGAAATTTATGGATGAAACTAACAAGAAAATATATTGCTTGATCTTTAATAAAGAATTCCACCATGGAGTGAACAGGACTAGTGGGTGGCTCACCAGGCAACACACAACCTTTGGGGTCCCCGGGGGCGGGGCCACTTCCAGTGTGCGTGTTAAACCTGCAGAAAAGTGAAGGAATTCACGATGGGCCCAGCCATGGAGCTTACAGTGAATCCAGACAAACCCCGAGCATCCATGAGGCCCCTCGAGATGAACCTCTTTTTCTTGCTCACCATAAACCCACCGAAGATTTTCCAATTTGGAAACTGAATTCAAGTAAAGGTACCATCCTAGTGGACTTAGAGATAATTCTGGTTTTGGCTGAAATCCCATTTGCTTTCTGCCACTTTGTAGGGGTCTCGTGGCCTGCCTGGCCTGTCTGCAGCCACACTGGCCTCCCTGGGCGGGACTTCCTCTCGAAGGGGCAGCGGGGACACCTCCATCTCCATTGACACTGAGGCCTCCATTAGGGAAATCAAGGTAAGGCCCTCTACTTACGTGTGACCTAGAGAAACCTTCTGTGAAAATCAGTCTTCAAGTAAAATAAGATTTAATTTGTGAAGTTCCAGCCCTTTCTTCTCAGTCTGGTCTCCCCTCCCTTCCATTAAGCTTGGTGTTCTAGTAACAGTAGGGCCCGGCCCGGTTCTGGTTCCCGCAGGGAGCCGCCCCCGACTTCCCCGCCCCGGTAGGGCCAGCACACCTGTGCTGGGATCCCTCAGCTCCCTGGGCACACCTGGGCGAGACCCCTCACCACGCTGCCCTGAGGTGCTTAGCCACCTCTGTACACAGAGCAGGACTGGACATTCCGCCCACAGCACTGGCAGGTGCTGGGCATAGACTGCTCGCTGCCCCCGACAGTACCACCCTGCCCTTCGCGCATCCCCGCCCTCTGCCTGCAGCGTGCCCTTCCTTTCCCTTTGTCGTATGCATAATATGCCTTCAGTAGACCCCGTCGTGGTACTTTAGTGATTTTTGCTTCTCCCACTGGTCTGTGGACACTGTTCTCTGTTGCATCCTCAACACTGAGTGTGTGACAGAGAAATGGGCCACTGCTTGTTAAAGTAACTAGGGACGTTGCATCTGAAAAGGAGACTGTGCAGAGGGAAGGCTGAGTCACCAGACCTCATGTCCTCTGGAGAGAGCACCAAGGCCAGGGAGGCTCTTCCGGGTCAGATTTGGCTTCATATACGGACGAGCTTTCTAGTAATGAAAACTGGTGAAAGGGAACCAGCTTCCATTGGTGCTACCTGAACAGATGGATGGCATTTGCCAGGGAGGCCAGAGAAGAGCTTAAGCATCAGGACTGGTGGGACTAGGTCCCCCTGCAGACGCCTTCCAACTCCTGTGCTTTATAAGAACAATGTTTTGACTTCTGTTCCCGGAATGTCCCTCCCTGTGTGGTCCCTCGGCCTCCTGCAGCCCTTTGGTCATCCTTTCCCGCCTTTAAGTAGAGTTGGCTGCAGTCATAATCTGCGTCTGGTCTTGGGGTTGTGAGCGTGATTCAGTCGTTCAGTAAGGATTTACTGCAACTCCAGCTCACGCCAGACACCAGACCCTGGGAGTGTGGCGATGAACGAGACGGGAAAGTCGAGTCCTCGGGCTCTGTAAGGGCAGGGACAAGGCTTTGCTGATTTCTGTCTTCCGTATCTTACTGTATGTAGCACAGAGCAGACCTCAAAGAGCTTGAATGAACTGTTAAATATGAGTAAGTTAACCTGTTCCATTTTCAGAAGCTCATTTTATAAAACTGTGTAAAAATATATGAAGACACATACCTTTGATAAAATTGTGTGAAAATATCATATGAGATACACCTAAATGTTCATCTTTGTAGTGTTGAAATTCATCTTCTTTTCCTTTTAACACTTAAAAAAGTTAAACGAAGATTTGCTGCTCCAACTACTCAAATAAGGAAACCGCCCAGAAGTAGAAAAGAATCAGAGAATCGCCTCTCCGTCCTTGTGGTCTCTGTCCATTTTTCCCTTTGACATCATTTGCCTTTTTTGCCATTTCCCCCAGGAGCTCAATGAGTTAAAGGGCCAGATTCAGGATGTGGAAGGCAGATACATGCAGGGATTGAAGGAGGTGAAGGTACCGGCTTATGGAAGTGTGGGCTTGCGATATTAACCCAGCTTAACTTTCAAAAATCCTACAGAATTCATTCAGACTGCATGCTTGCTCCAAAGAGGTCCCAGACTGTAGACCTCAGAGCGGCAGGAAT